TGTAACTATGTATATATTTCATGTTGTTATGGCACCTCATACTTCTGTATAGAACATTTTAAATCAGTTGGAATGGAAGTAGAAGAATTGCAGGCATGTACTGTGTGGGTAATTATTTAAGGTGGGCAGTCAGTTGAACTAGGAAAGTGTCAACAAATGCTTTGTCATGATAAGAAAATACTTTGGAAATAAATCTAGTCAGTACTCTGATAATAACCTTGAGGAGAAAGATGTTCCAAACATTTACAAAATTTTCTCTTTTGTTTTTATGTAAAAAATAAAAATAAACACTGAAGGCAAAAATATAGATATGTAGGTAGTGTAATGGTTATCAGTGCAAGAAGTAGAATTAGTGAGCCACATTCATATTCCAGCCTAGTCTTTTGTGCCCACTTTCATGTAAATGCCCTTAGAAAAGGCGTAAGTCCATCTCATGGACCTTCTTGCAATAGGTTAAATAACAAGGTTGACTGGATTTTTTAGCCTTGGTTGATTTTCAGTCTAAGAGAAAGAAAACTTCCAAACATGTGCATGATATTCTCAGCATCTTTCTGTAGAATGATATAGTTGTTGTCTCAAGTCTCCTCTTCATTTGTGTTGAAATTGTCTAGCATTTACTGCTATATAGGAGGATATATATTACATAGCAATTCATCATTCCCTTCTTTATTTTTAATAAAATTTTCCTGCCTCTTAATACTTTGTTTGGATGTACATTGTGGTGTAATGGATATCAGCTCAGAATGGAAAATTAGAGAGCCAAGTTCAAATTTCAGTCTGGTTCATTATATTCACTAATAATGTGCAAATACCTTTGAGAAAGGTATGAATCTATCTCTTCTCCCCTGGCTATGGGTTGAATAGCAGGACAGACTGGCAACCAATTTACTGCAGAAAGAAACAGCAACCTACTGCAGGAAAATATTCTACCTAGTCATGTATCACATATCGCACTTAATTGACTGACTGAATATTTTGTTTAGCTTTTGGAGGGCATCTTTTACTCTTCCAATGCACCTTCAGTTTTTTGTGTCATATTTTCCATTATCTATTATATCGCTTCCCAGATATTTAAATTTTTTTACTCAATTTTAATGTCTCCAATTCATAGCTTGCATCCTGGGATCTCCTTTTTGCTAACAATCATACATTCTACCTTCTTAGAATTTATGGTTAGTCCTTTCTTTGCAGGTGAACTAGGAATTATTTGAAAGAAATGGTAGCAATGTTTCAAATTTCCCACCAAGACTGATGGCTGAAATGAGAGAATCATTAATAATTTTTTTTTCCTTCTGATAATAAATACTGGATTTTATGGTAGGCATTAATGGATTAATATGAAATTACTGCAAAATGCATACATGTATTTAGTTAGATTAGCTTCATCTGGTTCAAGTGTGAGGAATAAACTATGCTGTGCTAGATGAACTGATTAAATCTTACTGTACAGTGTGACACTTGATATTCATTATTTTCCCATTCTAGCATAATATCACCTATATTGAGGCACCCGGTGAGGATTGAATATTGTTGATTACAGTTTTTATAAAATTCAATAAAAATAGATAATTCTTTCTTAATATAAGGATGCAGTATGGTCTTAGTATTTTTTGTTTGTTTTTGGAAGTAAAATATTTTTAAAAAGTTGTTTTGAAGGAGAAATTTACTGCTTTACAAGTTCTGAAATTCTCTTGGATGGAAACCAGATATGACTAGTTAAAAAAAAAAAAAAAAAATGGTGACAACATATATTCATGTGTCAAAAAAGCTTTCTTTTCAAAATTCCCTGGTTACCAAATCTCACTGACACCCAAGGAAGGTTCATTGTTAAAATTGACGAAAATGGTGTGAAGAAAATAACAAAGAAAAAAAAAGGAGAAAATTGGTACAAAAGAATTGTTGTATAACAAGGAAACATCTCTGAGAATTACAAGTGGAAAGAAGGCCTGGATGGTACAACCTAAATCTTTTGAAAAAGTCACCAAACATGAGGAACCTGATTTGAAAGAATTACTGTATAATTTCTATCCAATAGAAATTCTAGTATCTGCTATATAACAAAAATAACTCTAGAAATACATAAGCAAGTTTTTTTTTTTTTTGTTTTTTTTTAACCTCTTCTCACTGTTTACCAGAATAAAGTAAATACCAACAAGTTTTTATTTGCTAGTGTAGTGAGGTTGATGCTTTGGGGAGTCCATATTCTTTTGAACTTGTACCAGACAAAGCTAGGCTTAAAAAGTTTGCTTTGTGTTTGATATAGTTACTTATTTCCTAATTCTGCTGTTTCCTGACATTCCAGCAGAGGTAAAGTGCCTGGATTCAGTTGCTGATTTTCTTGCAGATGTACCACCAACTCCTTGAAGAGTACAATCTTTCTCTGTTTTCTTCTTTGTACTTTTTTGTTTTGTTTAAGTTTTTAAAGTTAAGTTTGATAAATATCAACTCAAAACAAGTTTCCTTTTTTGTTATTGTGTGTATCGTGTTATAATGAAATATCAACATTCAGGAACTCAACAGACAGCGTCTTTGTCATAATATTTACTAATTGCCAAGAGACTATTTAGGTTTTGTTCATTCAATGATTACTTTTTCATACTTAATTGTCATACATTGATTTTTTTTCTATCTCAGCCAATTCATCTTCCAAGTTTATTCTGGTGAAGTTTTCTCTGATGCTCAGTCTGTTGTTGATTTGTTAGCTGTTGTTGACCAACAGCAGATCCAACAAATTACCATTTGAAGAAGGTTGGTAAGTAAATCAGTTAAGTTTTTTGATAGAAATAGGTGAAGATAATTAAGCAATATATTTGAATTAAATATAATAATCTGATAGATAAGAACATTGATTAAGTACCTCCTAAAAAAAGAGTTATACCTAAGGTTTAAAATGTATTTTAGGAATGAAAACTTTCTTGTGGCTTTTATTTTAGTTTTATTTCCAAGCTTATAGATTAAATTTAATATTTCCAATAAGCCAAATATTTTGCTGTAAAACCGAATTTAAATTAATTGGAATGTTGTTTTTTCTTTAAATTGCTAGAATTGGCCATATTGACAAATCTGTCAACACAACATAATTCTCTTTATTAAAATAAAATCTTTCAAAAATAATACATACTTTTCTGAAAGTTTATTTGAGGAAGATTAACTGATTTAAAGTTTAATTAATGTGAATTAAAACAAATATTACTTACTTTTTTAGTTTAATTGCACAGTAATCTTAAAAATTTTAAACATTCTAATATTTTATTGAATTTTGGGTACTTTGGATTTATAGTCTTATTTATGAAGACGCTTATTGAGGAAATGTTATAAAATTACCAATAAATTTTAAATTTACTATACGCTCTTATTTCTGATAAAAATATCATCTATTGACTTCCTTAATTACAAAAATAAGCATGTTTCACACGTACACACACAAATTAAAAATTCTTTTTAAAATATTAGGGTTCATTGAATTGTACTGAGCTTTCCCATAATGATTAGTAAATAATAAATATAATGAAAAAAGAAATGATTGTATCGAAATTTCATAAAATTGAATAAAGCGGGTCGACGTAAGCAGAAAAAGAAACGTTTGTAGAATAATAACTAATTTGTGAATAATTTTTGAAAATTTCATTTAAAATCCAACAATTATCTGAATTTTGCAAGAATTTACAGAAAAATGTGTTTTTCACCGCAAAAAATGGTCAAATTTCCCATGCTAATATGGTCACCTACTTAAATGATGCATGCTCATTTTTTAGCGAATCTTTGGAGGTTCTCTGCCGATGGTAACTTCAATTCCTTGGTTCAATGGGAAATAGCAAAAATGTAGGTAGGGTTTGAAACATTGTAAACAACTAAGATAACAATACTAGTCCAATAGATTTAGTGTAAAAATATCTCAGAAAAGCAGAGATTTGATTCAATTAAAATTAAATTTACTTTTTTGAAATCATGCTGCAAAACAACTGAACAAGTAGCAGTATAAACTCCTTTCTTTAACTGTTTAGTACTAACCTGGAACTTTAAAAAATGATCTTAACAAAAATGCGTGTAAAGTAGGATTTAATCAACGTACTTAAAAAAAAAAAACATCGAGTTTGTATCATCGATTTTAATTTCGAAAACAATTTTCACATTCCAAATATTGAACACCTTTTTAGAATTTTAAAAAATTTTCTTTATGGTTTGTGTAGTTGTACTCTCCTAAAACAAAAAAAAAAAATCTATACTTCTCTAAATTTTTCCTCAGCTAGAAACTATTGTGGCATTCTGCCAGACTAAGCTGAATATAATTTTTAACTGAAATGGTTGCTGAGATTTATTGTAAATCAATTATGGCACAAGGCCGAAATAACTGAAATAATTGTTAGGTCAGTGAACAAACCTTGTTTTAACACAAGAATAAGGGGTGTAAACAAAAAGGGAGGTAACTACGTAGATATTTTTTTAACTTGGAATATTCTGACATGAGTAAAATTTTCATTAGAGCCGCTTTTCGTTCGTTACGGACAGAACTAAGTTAAATTTTAGCTTCTTACCTCTAGTTTTGATATTTTGGACATATGTTTTTTTAATTTATTAAAATATTTTTTGATTTTTAAAAAATGTATTAGAGCCTTCTGTCTGGTATTTATTCATTTTTCTCTTCATGCAGTTTTCTTCTTCGTTACCTGAACCGGTGCACACTTTTTGAGTTTTTATTTACTGCTTCCATAGTATTTACAATACATTGTTTGTTTATTTGCTTATTATTGTTAGTTTATTAATGTTATTGTTCGGATATTTCCCCGGGTGGTTACTTTGGTATTAATTGCAAAAACATGTCTACAACAAAAAAGCAAGTAAATGATGCTGAAAAACAACCCCTTGAGGTACGTAAAAGGAAACGTGCCAGTTACGGCTTGGATGTGAAGCTTCATGTTATCAAACAAAAAAAGGAAAATGGGCAACGTGTTGTGGATATTGCCCGTGCCCTGGGAATACCAGAAACTACAATTCGGACTATGCTGAAGAATTCAGCCGAGATCGAAGCGAAAGCTACGACCACTCCAAGACACTCCGAAGCAAACATCACTCGAATGAGAAGCAACGTGATGGAAATTATGGAACGGAAATTATGCTTGTGGATTGAAGATCTCTACCAACAAAACACGCCAGTTAGTTTGTCTCTAATTCGTACCAAAGCTCTGAGCTTGTATGATGATATCCAGAAAGAAATAGGCGAAGACTCGTCGAAAAAGAAATCGAAAGAGTTTTCCGCCTCAAAAGGTTGGTTCCATCGTTTCCAGAAACGGTACGGGTTTAAAAATGTGAAGATGCAACAAGGACCCGTCTCTGTCGGTCTAAGTCATCCTAACCCCGACAAATATTCGGACAATTTAAAGAAATTTATCGATGATGAAGAAGCTTACGTTCCCAAGCAAATTTTTAACGAACCCGCTGGCCTCTACGGAAAACGAATATCTTCAAGGACGTACGTGTCCAAAAAGAAAAACGACAAATCTAGTTTTAAGTTCTCCTTAAAAGATAAACTCTCTGATGACAAGTTTCTTGAAGCTGTTAATGATGACGTAGATAGATTACTTGATTCGCATTCACTGCCATTGACAAATGAACATTTAGCTGCACTGAACCAGGCAACGATTGCTGAAGAAGAGGAAGGGACAGTAGACGATGTCGCCACCTCAAAAAAGGGGTTCACGGTGGATAATCTACGAACTGTGTTTTCAAAGATTGCTGAGGTTGTGGAATTTTTTAAGGAACACGATCATCAAAGCGATCGAGCCGACAAATTCGAATGTGGATTAAACGAATTATTGTCCTGTTATCGGACACTTTTATCAGAAAAGCTTCGTGATAGAGAACATGTGACACTTAGTGATGTTTTTATACAGCAGAAATTCGCCAACGAACATCAACCTCTTTCAGGCTCATCAGATGATAGGCCAAAACCTAAATAGTTGGTTTCTTCTTTCTTACCATCTTGCCACTGAAACAAACTATCGCTTTTTAAAAAGTGTTGTTTTTATTTAATTTTAGAAACAGTGAAAGCTTATTCTCTTTATCAGGCAGATTTCAAACATTATTAGCAGGACGTTTCCTCTGGATGGAGCAAAGTTGTTACTCATATAAAATGATAATAAATTTTCAATGTAAGTTTTAAAAATGTAAAATTCCTCTTTACTCAGACAACAACTATAAAATAAATTGAATATTCAAAGGATACATGAATAAAGTAGAATTTTATCATTAACCAGATATTGTTTGAGATATGAGATTTCAGTTAATCTGCTAAAATGATTTTATGAAAAGAGTATAAATATTTTTAAAGCCTTGAACCTAATTCTTGAAAAAAACAACAGCTCTGTAAAAAAGAAGTTTTCATAATCTAATTTATTGGAGAAATCCATCTGATACATCATTTGTTGCACACAGCTATAGTCTGAGATTGGAATTGTTTTCTGGAAAGTTGTTTTTCTTGGGAGATCTTGATCTGAGATTCTTTTGGTAAGTTAATTCTTTTTCTTATCTATCTATCTATCTATCTATCTACACACACATACACACAATGCTACGTAAAAGTTCAGGGAATTTGAATAGTTTGTGCGAATCAAATGTAGAGTAAACTACTGCTCAGTGTAGCTGCTGGCAGATTTATGGCTCTTCACAGAGACCACTGCCCCTAGCGGTCATCTGTGTACCCATGAATTCTTATAAGACATCAGTATCATTTCAATTTCTTCCAGCCTAGGCATCAGCTTGTAGGGACTAGGATTCTTTTTCTTCTAATTGAGATTCTAGCACAAGAGCTTAAGGAACATTAAGGTGGTTACCTTCTGAGCCCACAAGCAGGAAAAAGTGGTATGTATCATATTTGAATTTTTTAATTGTATCTCTGTTGCAATGTTCTATTTATGTATTCTGTTTGTTCCTTTGTATAATTCTATGATGTTGATAGACTAAATAAAGCATCTGTAAAAGTAACTCTGTCTTCATTTTGTGGTTAACGGAAGCACATTTTGAAAACAGTACCCTGATACCTAGATTCTATTCTCTCCAAGGTACTACCTTGAAGGAGATGGTCAAAACTAACTGTTATAAGTATTTTTTCTCATAGTCAAATTCTTTGAATTTTTGGTCAGCACTATATATATATATATATATTATTTTTCTATTTGTTGTCAGAAGTTGATACTTTCATAAATTTCTTTTTTAAATCCTATGTCCTTTCAGAATGTAGGTGATTATGGCTGTCCACTGATACCTTTCATTTTTCTTTATTATCTGTAAATTACCATGCCTTCTTGTGAAAGACAGTGAAGTGATTTCTCTTTGCCTTCTATTCACTTTGAAATTCAGTGTATTCCTTTTCTTAAACTGGTTAACCACTCAAAGCTAGATAGCCCCTCTACTCAGCTAATTAACTCATAGCTGGAGATACCAATTTCAAATGAACTGTTTTATGGTTTTATATAACATTTTCTCAGATTTTTCATTTAGATTTCTAGATTGCTGGTAAATTTTCATCATTTTACATTTGAAATTGCTAGATGTAACCCTAAGTTCTATGCTAACAGTTTCTTCTCTCAAACTTCTCACTTGTGGAACTCTCTTCTGGCTTCTGGCTTCAGAGTCAACTTTGATCTTCAAAAATTTATGCAATGTCAATTGTTATCTTCTGTCTTCTTAATTCCTGTTCTTTTATTGTTCTCTCTCCTTAATAGTGTTTTTTTCCTCACACATTAAACCTTTTCATCTTAGTGGCTTTATTGCCTTGCTTGGGGGTGAAATGATTAAAAAAAAAAGGTAAAAGTTTTCATATATAAAAAGTTGAGATAGACAAATATTCTCTCTGTAATTTTGAAAATTATACATTTTGCCAATACTTTTTCAAATAGGCTATTTTTAATACCTGTTTGTAGTTGATCAGATATCAGGAAATTGTAATGTTTTGTTTTTTTGAAGAGGGGGTCCTTTCTTACAGATTGTATCTTTTGTACTTGATGAATATATAACTATGTAGGTTAAATATGACAATTTTCTACCTATGGTAGTAATATTTTCATATTTTTTTGCTCTCGTAAATTTACAAAATTTTTGCTGGTTTCATTCTCCATCCATCTGCAAGTAAAATTTTGTCCAATGCAAAGACTGTTGCTGGCCCAGTAAATTGGCTGTATTCTTTTATTCTAATGCCCTGATTCTAGTATTATATTTTAATTCTGAAAACCCACTTTCTACACACAACTTTTTATCAAATGAATTTTTGATAGACATGAAGCCAAAGTAAAAATAAATTAATGTTTGCTGTTTTTCCTTTTATGTTAATCTAATTTTAATTTAGTGAAAAATGATGAAAACAATCTTAACACATAAAATACAAGATGAGTTGTGAGTGTGTGTGTGTGTGTGTATATATATATATATATATATATATATATATAAACAAAAATTTGAAAAGATTAGAATATGGATAAGTGAACATTTAATTTTATTTATTACTAATAATCATGCAACCTGGTCTCATTAGTTAATATTTTGTTGTTATATTAACAAGGCATTGCTCAGTATTATTTGCAGAAAACATGACTCATGTAATCATAAAAACAGAATATCTCATTACTAAGTAAGGAGACCAAGTTGCTAATGCATTGTTTAAAATAAGTATCTATTTACTTATACCTCTATATATAGGCATGCATTCTGGAAGTGCAAATTATTTTACAAAAAGCCATTCTTTCATTTTCTAAAAAACATAAGAAATATGCAGAAAGCTTCTTAATTTAATAATCATCGTTCTCTTACTGTGTTAAGAAAATTAAGACAATCATAAATAGGAAAAATGCAGTTTAATTAGCCTGCAGCATATGCAGACAGCATCAAACTGGTATCTGCCAGAATAAATACAGTATATGTTTTGCTTTTAATTCTTGATTTTGATTTTTGGTGAACTAACACCAATAAAGGATGACTGTCATAACATTATCACATTTTTTTAACCCAAAATCTTTATATAAAAAAATATGGGTTGATGTCAAACTTTTGATAAGGTAGTAGCATGCTTACAGTACAAGGTGTGACAATTTCTGGAATGTTCCTATGAAAGCAAAATTTAATTACCTGGTTACCATTGGCTTCTGTCACTTTCAAAGTACTCCCCTTATGAAGATGATGGTGTCATTGCTGGAAACATTATTGGAACTTATTTTCCCTAGTACCTTTCAGTAATGTAGTCATATCCAACAATTGATATCAGGAAATTGCATTGAAACAGCACATCCGGTTGACGCAAAGAAGTCCATGAGAGCTTTGCATATGTCTGCTTCATTGGTGAAGGATTTCCCACGAAGATGATTATCCAGGGAGTGGAAGAGGTGGTAGTCGGATGGCGCAAGGTCAGGTGAATAAGGTGGATGGCACAAAGTCTCCCACCCAAGTTGCTGTATGGTATCCCTGACCACTCACGCGACATGGGCCTGGCATTGTCATGGAGGAAAAGCACACCTTTGCAATTCACCAGTGCTAGCTCCTTCTGGTGCAATGCCTGTTGCACACATTTCAATTGCTGCGAGTATAGGTCTCCAGTGACCGTTTGGCCTGTTGGTAGCAGTTCATAATGAACCACTTGACGACCTGTCCACCAGACACAAAGCATAATCGTGCGTGGGTGCATAGGCGGTCTTGCGGTGTGAGAGACAGCATCCTGAGGAGACAACCAATATCTGGAATGCTTGGGAGTTTCGTACAGAACCCACTTTTCATCACTGGTAAGTACTCGAATGAATAAGGATGTGGTATGGTATCGAGAAAGCAGCAATATGCAGGCTGCCACTCATTGTCTCTTGTGGACCTCCAACAACGTTTGTGGAACCCACTTGTTCAGTTTGTATGTCTTACCTAAGCGGTGCAGGTGAAGTCTAACTGTTTCATCGGAAACGTTGAACTGTCTTGCAAGTTCACCACACGTTAGACTACTCTCCTCTTCAATGGCCGCCTTCAGGACTCCATTATTCAAGACCTGTAGTCATCCACTGCAAGACTCATCATGGAGAGACAAATCTCCCGACTTGAATTTTCGAAACCAACGCCTTCCAGTACGTTCATCCACAGCACTATCCCCAAACGCTTGACATATGCAGCAACTGATAAGCCCACTTTGAAGTCGTAAAGCAAACAGCCCCAAACGAGATCTCTAGACACTTCCATCCTTCTCACAGCTGTCCGGCTTATAACTGATGGCCAGGCATGGTGAGCGTGTTTTTTTTATAACGTCTGATGTTCCTATTTTTGGCTGTCCGAATTTGAAAACAATTGCTACACGCATTTCGTATATATTTCAACTTCATTCAATAACTAATCAAAAAACGGACAAAACTTTTTTGGTTACCTTGTATAAAACAGAGGATGTCTGTGTGTCTGTCTGTATGATACCTTTTCACTTGAGATCCATTCAACCGATTTTGACCAAACTTGTTACATACATTGTACAATGTAAGAGATAGGTTTCTAACATAAAAATTTGATAATTTTTAAAAAAATCAATAATTGATAAAGCTGGTCAAAAATTGATAGATTCAACCTTTTTCCTCTGATTTGGTTTGAACTCAGTATGTAGGTTACTTATATCATGGCAAGCTCAATGATACCTCATTTTTATTTCTACGGCACTACATTTAGTGAAAAACCAAAAATTGATTTCAACACAAATTTTAAACTAAAAACTCTCTCAATTTTCAAGCAATCTAATACAAACTTCACTCAATTGTAAATAGCAAAAAATGGTGATTTTTACTGGTTTCTTTCTTATTTTTTGTTGATCTTTCAACCAATTTTCATCAAACTTAATAATTGCTTTATAAATGTATCTTCTTTTACATCCCTGGCAGCACAATGACAAATTGAATTTCAAAAACTCCAAAATAATTGTTGTCTAAAGTGGGTCTTCATGTTGCCTGTTTTA